AACACGGCCCTGGGCAGTAGCCAGCATTCAACCTGCCTGAGACTAGACAGCCAGCAACACTCACAGTTGCCAGCAGCAATCAGCTCAAACAGACAAGATGTGAGCAGACCCCTCTGACTGGTATCTCTGTGCAGCAGCCCAAGGATCCCTCACCAAACTGAAACATGGGTTTAGGGTTTTAGGGTTCAGGGTTTAAGGTTAAGGGTTTAAGGTTTAGGGCACTCATGGCATGGCAGCGGTTCAGAGTCGAATTCCTTGAATTCCACTCAAGGAGGTCTGTTAGAGGCTCAGTGGCTCTATCAGTGGAGTCCAAGCATCGTCCTCTTAAAGGCCGAATAGGACTCCTTCTTGGTTGATGACATCCAGATTCCATTTTTTTTCGCCCAGGTCTTGTAGCTGTCGAAGTTGTCCTGGGATCAGCCCATGAGTTGCTGATCATTTCCCACCATTCTTCCGAGCCGGCAACAGAAGACCATGCCTGAACACTCGGAATTAGCAAACATGTCTCCTGACTAAACCGCAAACAAACTTCTCGTCTCCAAATTCAATCAAGTTCAATCACAAAGGCTCGGCGTCCACGCGGCGGATCGCCTCATTCAGCTGCAACACGTTCTTGTCAGCCTGCGGGCTCAGGGACATGTAAGGACCGTCCGAGCCCTTCAGATGAATCGCTTGCACATCCGTTCCTTGGCGTCCTTGTCCGTGAAGCCAGCTTCTGTTAACATTTGCCGGAGTTCGGCCAATTCGGTCCTCAATCTCGCCTTCTCGTCGGCTCGCTGCATGAAGTCATCAGGCGAGGGCCTTGCCTTAGGAGTGGAGGTGCCTTGGGTCGGTTCCTTGCTCGGCTCTTGCTTCTCTTCGGTGACTCGGGTCGGCTCCTTGCTCGGCTCTTGCTTCGCTTCATCCCGTGCTTCGCCCTTCTCCGATCCCTGCACTTCTGTCTTCTTCGCCGTGGTTTGAGTAGGTGCATCTACCTTTGACTCGGAAGAGGGCCCCTGCTGCTTCAATGTCTCGAGCTCTTGCTCCGTGTCCAGCAGTTTGAGCCTCGTTTGCTGCAATTCCGATTCAGTCTGCCGGCTTTGCTTGCGTTCATCACTGAGTTTTTGCTGGTACTGATCCTTGTCCTGGTCCCACTTGACTTTGTGCGTCTCAAGCCGTGCAACAGCGGCATCCAACTGCCTGTGCATGTCTGCGACCTCTTCATGCAGAGCAAGCAACTTCTCTTCAGCACGACGCGCTACGGCCACCTCAGCCACCACCCGCTGTTCCAAGTTTGCAATCTGGAGGTCCTTGCTGGTACATGCCTCTTCCATGGCAGCTTTCAAGCCTTCGAGTGCCACTGAGGCTTCCTCTGCTGTTTGCCTGGCCTCCAATGCCTGTAGCCGGTAGCGATCGCTTTCTCGCTGCGCTGCGCGGGTCTGCGCCTCGGACTTCGCGACTTGGCTCTCGAGGTCGTGCATGCGCTGCTTGGCAGTAGCTACGGCCTTTGAAGATGACTCAAGTGTAAAGCTCTTCAGCTGCTGCTGAGCCGATGCCAGATCCCCTTCCAGACAGTTAACACGTAAGCGTAACTCCTCAGACGTGCTGTGCTCCTTCTCGAGCTCTTCTTGTGCCCGCTGGCTCTGAGCGCGCGCGCTGCCTACAGTCTGAACAAGAGCCTGCTTCCCCTTCCTTAGTGACGCGAATTGAGATTTTGGTTTGCCTGACTCTGCTGGCTTGCTCTGCCTTGAGCGCTGCCATGTTTTTCCTATCACGCCCCGATATTCCTTGATGTTTCATGAGGCTTCCTGGTTTGTCCGATGATTTGCTACAGCACTCATTCCTTCCTGCTATTGTTACCACTTCCGATTATGTGCATCCTTTTTCCTTCCGAGTTGCTCTGCTTCGAGTGCTCGCCTGTTGGACAGCTCCAGCTGGACTTTCAGGCTTTCGATCTCCTGCGCTCGGAGCTCCGCAAAGCTAGCTCCAAGTGGCCGGGCGATTTCTAACCAAGGCCGTTTACCCTGCGTCTACACCAAGCAGCTATTCTCGATCTCTACACTTTGTCCCACAACATCAGACGTCTACCTACCCGGATCTTCTAGTCCCCACCTGTCGTAGCGTGTCGCTCTGGCTGTCAGGCCCCGCAGCACGTGTGCTCGCTCGCCATCGACTTGACCGTGGAATAAAGATGCCAGCAACCACCCTGGGCTTTCAAGATTCTGGCGGGGAGCCGGCTGACAGTATGCACAATACGTGCACCCTTTCTTGAAGGCAAAGACATGTAGGAGACCAGAGAGAAGGAAGAGAGAAAAAAAACAGAAAGGTTGTTGGAGAGTGAAGCCAAAAGCTCTCTTCCCTGCAATGTCCACCGAAACAAGTTGCTTTGCCCCCGGGCTTCGCACCACAACTGCTGAGACTTGAGATATTTGATGACGGCTGTAGAACCAGCCTCCCAGCAATTGATCACGATGTGCGAGCGGTTGCAAGGAAGTATGCCCTGTGCCCCCCTCTGCGTTTTGCATGTCTTCGAGAGTCCCTGAACAAGGATCAATTCTGTCAGTGTGGTGTACTGAAGGAGGGACCGCCACAATTTGGAAAACCCGTCTCAACACCTGTGCAAGAAGAGAAACAGCGCAGATTCAATGTACTGGGTATGGAGGCAGACTCTATAACTCATTATAGTAATTTCCATGTTCTTTCCAAATATCCCCATATGACCCCAATACACTATACTGTACTTTCCATTTTTTCATTATGCCAATATATCCTCAATATGTTTTCTATAAGAAAACAGGCCTTAAGCTTGGCTGCCCACTTGGCACTGATCTCTGCGTTTGCGCGTGGAGTCCGTCATGGCTTCGGCTCGGAACTGTCTGCATGGCAGAGCACTCAGGAAATTCTGTGCTGCAGGTATGCTCGGTGGGGTGTCCGGAATCTGCAAGTTCTATGCCATCCTTAAGCAGTTCATACTCGGAACTATCAGGGTAGGTTGTTCCTTGAATGATGCACAGTTCTGTTCGCATGTCTGGACATAGCTTCTCCCTATCATCAGCTCCTTTGGATCTGGAAGCCAAAAACCGATTTGCACGCACCCCGCAATAGCAAACAGCATCGATGCGCAAGCTTTTCCCTTTGCTCCAGGCACTCGTCGCGTTTGTCGCAAGATCAACCTCAGGGGTCTGGAGTAGGTGTTTGACCGACCTGCACTTTAAAGATTGAAAGCCTCTTGTGTTTATCTAGGTCCTACTAGGTCTGCTTAGCAACTCATTGTTCAGCCAACAAGCCTTCCTTCCTCCGCGGGGGGAGTGGGAAGAACTTGCTGACTCGCTGCTGGTAGCGCGCGTACTCCGGGTACTTGCTTGAGGAAAGCGCTTCCTCACAGCTCTGCCAGAAATATGGTAAACAGCACTTCCAAAGCGGTATCAGTATTGGCATACGGGCTCCTCAGTCCGACTGAGCCAACATGCCGAGACGGGCCGAGTTTCTGTGATGTCCAGGGAAGCCCCTGGTGTCAAAAAGAGGCCGCTCAAGAAGAGAGGTCCCCAAATTGTCCAGTTGAACATCTTCCCCGTGGCAGCGATGCTAAAGAGGTAGAAGACCCACCACATGGTGACCTTGGCTCTACCTTCCCCACTTGCAGCGTTTTAGATGCGTCAACATACCCGAGGATGTCCTGGGCCAAGGAACTTCGCAGAAGTAGTTGGGGTGCCGTGACCACGCCCACAGGCCAGTTTGGATGAACCCAGGAGCATACGGTCCCATATCCTCGCCCGCCGCTCGCCGTCGGTACTTCTCTGTCTGGAAGGCAAACATTTGAGCATCAGCCACGGCCTGGCAAGGAAGCTGACGGCCAGGTCGGCACCAGAAACCAAAACAAATTTGCAATTTGCCCGGCCTCGCCGAGGCACAGAAGCAGGTATAGGGTTGCTGCCACAGCATCAAGCCAGCCCAGCGCTCTGTTTGACTGCAGTGCCGCAACAGCGGGGACAGAAAAGGCAAGGATGGAGCACCTCACCCAACACACCAAGCGAGACACGTTAAGAACTCGCAGAGCTGCAAGCAGCTTTTGCATGTGCGGTGCAACACAGCCATGCCGATTCGCTGACATAAGCCTTCAAGGCATGAACATAAGCAGGCTGCTGCTGGAAGAGGCAAATGAAGAGGAGGTTGAACACCTGCATCTGTTGCCACCTCTGCCCGTCTGTACATCACTATATGACAGTCCAAGACAAGTGTCAACCGACCCTCACGCCTCCCACTGCCAGCCAGGATACCATTGTCGCACAACTGCCCATCGGTAATCCTTGTAAGCATGCAGGCAGACACAAGGCAAAACTGGCACCACCGCGTCAAACGCCAGTACATGTGACGCTCCTCGCCACCACTGAAGCCACCCTTGATCCAGAAGTTGTAGGTCAAGCGGAAGCCCCAAACACCTGCAGACTTGATGTGCCTCAAGTTGCTTGAAGCTTAGAAATCTTCTATTGTATACTGCGATTATATTGGGATAATGGAAAATAAAATGGAAACTACTATAGTATATTGGGGGTTGTTTTAGAGCTTGAAGCTTAGAAATGTTCTGTCCCTTGGTACCAACCAACAGCAGTGCAGATTGAGCCTGGACTCCCAGTTTCCATTTCATTTTCCATTATCCCAATATAACCCCAATGTACTGTAGTAGTTTCCATTGTATTTTCCATTATCCCAATATAACCCCAATGTACTGTAGTAGTTTCCATT